GTGCCACAAATCAGACCCTGCAGCACAAGATTATGCCCTTGGTGCTGTGTTTGGTGTTCAATGGCAGACGTACTTTTTCTCCCTGGAATATTTGGATTCCACAACTGTATAAGACTTGGCTTTATGGCTGCAGATCCTGTATCTACACACCCCCTGCTGGAACATTTGAGATGCCGAGAGCTCCACATGGCGTCTTTAATTTGGCACAGATATACACGTTAGTGCTGGGTTAAAAAAAAAAACTAGTATGACCCCAGGTAAGGGGGCCTGCTAGGCAAAGGAGCAAAAAAAATAAAATAATCATGAACAGAAAGAGATGCTTTAAACATCGAAGATGATCAAGAGCCAGCATGTCTGCAGGATTTCCCCTTTATGGCCTGGCCGGACCTGACTGTGCCACCAGTCTCTGAACTCCTGGCCTGCTGGGTCTGCGGGGCCTGGTCCAACGACAGCACACTGCAGAGGCCAGGTGGACAGGGGTCATCTCCCAAAGTCAGGCGGGAATGGTCTACCACTAGCAAGAACTGTAGAGCGTGCAACTCGAATGCGACCAAGATTTTCTTTGCACAAATATAAAACAGCTTTTCCCAAGTTTCACATTAATATTTATTTTTCTCACTGAACACATTCTTGAGCTCATACTGTTTAGTTATCAGCTTTGGAAAATGTGTACAACTGATATATACGCACGTAGGTTTTTTTATGCAAAGATAAAACAATCATTTAACAACCTAATAACATCAGAATATTTAACACGGGTGGTAAAACCTAATGAGACTTCAAAGTCCCACTGCCGACACTGAAAAGATTTTTCAAAAGAAGCATTTCCTACAATATATGAGCACTTCTTACTTTTTTTTATAAAAAAAAACATTCAGGGCATAAAGGTTTAACAGCAGCAGCACCTGAAGATCTGGAAAAAGTTGGCAAATTGTTCCAGTTCAACTGTTAACAGTCATTAGGGAACAGAGCTGGAATGAAAAATTGCAGACATGCCGGGCCCTACAGGACTGGGATGGAAAACTATAGGTGGAGACAAATAAACCCAGGAATCTGGAAGGTATACGCTCACTGGCCAAAATATTAGGACCCCCCCCCCCCAAAATGTGTTGGGTCCCTGTGAGCAGCAGGAAGAGATTGAGCTGAACGCTGCAGGTATCCACAAGGGTCTGAGGTCTCTGTATCCCAAATCCAGCAGGACAGCCTGCGGCCGAGGCACGGCGCTCAGTGAAACTGGGATGTAGAGGACAGCGCAGGTATTGCATGCATGAGGTCCTGGCTTCAAGCCCCGGCACAAAGGCCTAGCTGGAAGAGTGGTAGGAGGGTGGAGCAAGCTGTCCAGCCGATACGTTGTCAAAGCCGATACCCCGGTTCTTTTCAAGAAACAGATGCAGGGGATCCTGGGCTCAACTAAACACCAGCTATCAAACAGGCCTGATGGACACGGTGCCCTCTTCGCGTTTCTGACCACGGTTCCAGAATCTGGGGGTTCTGTTCAGTGTCCCGCTCTTCAAGCAATCCAAAGAGAGAGTTTTTTTTTTTGGGGGGGGTTCCCAAAGTTTTTGGCCCGTGAGTAAACAGACAAATAAAACAGGACAGCTGAAGGGGCTTTTTTGACCTGCTGACCTTTGATGCCGTCGGAGGAGGCGACGGTAGCAACCAGGCCGTTGCTGGGGGCCTTGCTGGTCGCCATGGAGACCTGCAGGAGGGGGGGCTGCCCTAAGGGGGCCGGGCTGACCGTGTTGACCAGGTTGACCAGCTTCTGCACCTCCGCGTTGCGCTCCCCGCGCTGCACTGCCACCAGGTTGCACACGTTCACTGCGACAGGGCAGGGGGAGGGGAGAGAGGCGACAGGGAAGGTGAAGGGCAACTCTTGACCTCTTCCTGCCCAGCACTTGGGGGGGGTCGGGGGGCCACCACCGGGACCCCTGCTCCCTTCTCCCACCTCACAGCATCTGGTCAAAAGGCCTCCGGAACGCTGGTGCGGATCTGGGGATCTTAACCCCTCGCTTCTGGGCTCCCACTCGGAAAACCTGCACAACGGGACGGCTGGCGGTTCCACAAAACCGAAGCTCAAAAACTTCATGTTACGGCGGAACACCGAAGACGCCGGGGTCCATGATTCCGAGACTCCGTTTAAGACGGGTTAAGGGCAGACCACCTCCGTGCCGATTCCGAGATTTCGATAAAATCGAAGGCTCTTGTGGATGATAGGCGACCCCCTTCTCCCTCTGGCAGGGCTGGGAGAGGGGGCAGATCGGCCCCTCCGCCAACTCCAAAGACGGCAGTGCCTCTCGCCACCGTTGATCCACGGGCCCGGGGAATAACGAGCGATAACACGTCTGTGTGCGCGCGCCGTGCGGTCATGCAAGGGAAAGATATCCGGGGGGGGGATATCCGTTCTAAACGGTCGAATTTAAACCCGGCGTTTACACCGGGAACGAGCACCGAGAGCCGCGCGGGGACCCCGCAGCCCAAGACAGCAGGACGTGCGCAGGAGACCGACCGCAGCTGCTGTGAGCTGGCAGCCTGTGGGGAACGGGGGCCAGGTGGGGAGTTCAGCCATGACCTTTTACCTCTTTCTCTGTCCGTCTCCATTACCTCCAGCACTGTGTCTCCCTGCATCAGGAATCGTCTGTGACTGATGGCTGCCCGTTCCTGCAAACCTGCTGCTGCAATTTAAAGATAAGGTCAGACAACACGCCGAGCCCCGGCTGCCCTGTCCGGCTTCACTCCGCCATCATGCTACCCCGGCTCACTGCGGCACAAAGGAAAACCGCCCGCCGCCGTCTTGGAGAAAAGGAGGGGGACAAAAACGACCGCTTTTCTATTAACTCTTTATGGCTGGGTTTTTGTTGGGCGTTTAAAAAAAAAAAAGTAAGAAGTGCTCGTATACTGTAGGCTGCCCTCGACACCTGGCTCTGAGGGAGACGAAGGCTGACCAGCGTCCTCCTCGATTCTCCTAGCAGTGCTGAAAATCATCTTCCCTTACTCCTTTTTGACGCCTGGATTCCAAGTTCATGGAGTTTATCTACTTTCAAGTCCCAGTGGGTCATAAACGGTTAATACAGAATTGAAAATGTTTTCCCCCTATCCCCATCAGACCTGGATCTACCAATAGCATATTTGTACACATTTCAGCCTGTGGCTACAAATCCCCATGATCCCACAGGGTAGAGTGAAGTCATCAGCCTCCTCCGAGCCACCTGTGCTTTAACATGTCACGGTCGACACAGCCCCATTCGGCAGGATCAGTGCCCACAACAGGAAAAGCACATCCCTCTCAGGGGTGCTCAACCAGTGGCATGCAAGTGCTTGGTGAATCGTGGTCACAGAGCTAGAGGCAGGCTCGAACCCGTGATCGGGTGTTTAGGTAGGCGCTTTCACTGGCTGTGCCACTGCTGGGAGACACGCTGACCAGCCCCTCCAAGCCCAAGCCCTGGACACACCTGGTGATGGCTCTAATACTGAAATCGGAGTCAGGGGAGTGAGAATGACCAGAGACCATCCAATGTACCCGCACGCTGAGTCAATCATCTGGCGCAGTGCAAGACCCACAGGTCCAGGCTGAAAACCGGACTCCAACAAAGAATTCTGTAATTCTGGAAATGTCACGAACATTTGGCCTTCAAGGCTGTGACAAGACAGGTCCTGTACAATTTTCAAAAGGCAGAAATCTCAATGTTGTTCTAAGATCTGCTGTGAAAGTCTAATGGCATTCGTTTTAGCGTTAACTGGGGCTCATTGGGTCCATTCCATGTTTTCACAAGGTCCAACATTCAAAAGCCTCATCAGGCCCACAGGAGCAGGAAAGTAGAAGGAACCATTGCCTGCCACAAAAAAAAAAATCCAATATATAATAATGCCACCTGCCAGCTTGGGGAATCCCAGGGAAAGCTGATTACAGCGACCAGACCCGAGTTCAAATCCTGGTAAATCGGGGTGGCAGAGCTCACTGCACATCTCCCAGTTCAAACGCGGTCCAAACCGTTTCACCTGCAGGACTGTCTTAACGCCCTGGAGTCACGCCTGCACTTCGGGTGAAGCTCGATGTTGATTAGCCGACTGATCTTGAGAGATCAAGTCTGGCCCCCCGCTGCCCAGTGGAACGAGGGCACTGAACGCGGCGTCTCGAAAGAGGTTCATAATTTAATCACCATTTCATTTTTCTAATCTCGATTGTTGTAGTAGCTTTTAACGCCTAGCCCCAAGCTCAGTTTCACCCCGACCTGGTGTGGTTTCCATATTGCTGAGACTCCAACCTGACGGGGCTTCTCACGAGTCTATAAATCGAGAATTTTAATTGTCAAAACAGACCACTTTCACGATCCTTGACAGAATCGGATGTGGATTTACGGAAGGCCTTCAGGGACGGGCCTTGGGGGGGGGGGGTACCCCAATTTATCAGAAAGTCATTGGTGGCGATCTCCCAGCCCTCTCCTCCGTCTATTGTAGACGTGTCTTGCGTAAAGCAAAAATCCATCTGCAATGATTCTTCACCCCCCTTGTTTAATAACTTTCAGTCACTCCCATCAGATCGCAGATACTGACTCCCCAACTCAAAAAATTCCCCAGATTCCAGTTCTCACTCATACCTGTTGCCATATCCTTACTTACCACTTGGCTTTCTTTGCAAATATGTATGTATATTGTTGTGCCTGTCCGTCTGTAGACCAACACTGCTGCTGTAAAACAACTTGCCCCCACAGGGACAATACAGATACTCTCTCTCTACCCCAGTACTGCTGTGCGCTCGAGGGGTGAATGGAAGAAACAAGTCACAGAGGAGCCACACCGCGAGACGGCCCCCCCACTCTGACCCCGACATGCAACATCAGGTGTTTCAGCGTTCAGGCTGAGGCCTGGTTCGCTCAGACTCACCGATCTTGGAGGTGGGCACCGCGATGGTCTGAGTGGGGGAGGAGAGCGCGGAGGAGTGGACCAGCTGGGTGGCGCTGGCGGCGGTCACGGTGGTGATGGTCTTGGCGCCGGGCTGGCTGGCGGCGGCGGCCGTGGTGGTGCGGATGGCGAGGGTGGCCGGGATCATGGTGGTGTAGGTGCTGGTGGGCGGCCGTCCGGGCACCGCGGTGCCGGGCCGCACCTGGGTCACCTGGGACAGCACCTGGGGCACCCCCACTGCCGGCTTAAAGAACTGACCGCCAGGGGCTGGAATGCAAACGGGACAGGAAGCTGAGCAGGTTGGCTAGGAGCATCATCACCTGACTCTCTGTGGACAAAATTCTCATTTCAGGGAATTAGTGGTCAAAGACCAGCTCCTCGTCCTTCTGGAGGACGGCTGCTTGGTTGCTTTCCCCTTGTGCACTACCGGCTTCATGCGGTTTTATATCTTCCACTCCATCGTCTGCTGGAAAGCCTTGGTCGCTGTGGATTCTCCTGAATCCAGTCAAATTCCGTTTGCCAAGGACTCCGAAAGGTCGTGGGTCACCCCATTCTGCTTCTGGGCGCCTTCCCGTACAAGAATGCATTTCCCATCTCTTCCGCGACAGGGGTCTCAAACTCACGGGCTGGGCAGTGAGCACGCTGGGGTCTGCGCCTTCTGCCTTAGTCCAGCTAAACTCAGGCCCTGCAGTCTTCGCTTTCTCAGAGACCAGTGGTCAGGGCAGACCTCGTTATGCTGTTCCACACTTTGGCTTTTGCCACATCTATTAAATGAAAGCCATGCGTTACCTGTTGATGGGCATGTCAGCACCCACCAGTATGGGCGCATAGAAGTCCATAATTCCCCAAATCCCAAAATTGACTTCCTGTCACAAATGACAGGAAGTCAAGCCACGTGTTCGCACGTGGAAGCCCTTCACGTGAGTGTTTTCATCACTGTTAGTGCAATTTGGTACTTATTGTTTAGGCTGTGCAAAGACATAATCAACAGGGTTGCTCATCTGTAGAAACCGGTCCCATAATCCAGCTATTGAAAATCGATATGAGCCGAGTGCTTTAAACAACTGAAAATCTAATTTAATACTGAGATCATTACACTACTGATGTAGCAGGTGAGATTTTAGAGCACTGTGCATCACAAAAACAGTTGGGAGCATCATGCTGAACTTTCCTTTCAACTTAAGGGGGAACTGCAGTCCCAATTTCTCAGACCAGTTATTAAATCTCGGTAACAAAATAAATTCATTGAGAGCATAGAAAAAAAAGTCACAAATTCTGATTTAAGCACAAAATCTTGAATTTGGTGGAAATACTGCAAGTCACCACGTTGTCGCAAACCCCTGGTCTCACCACGGGCGAGACAGAGTTCCCACGAACTGTGACGTGAAGCGGCCCTTCCTGCTCACTAGTCGCTGTAATGACTAGTGTAATGCAACATACAAGCAAATAAGTAGAGGTTGTGCAGCAGATGTGTTTAAATATGATCTGCGTGCAGTTAATGAGTAAATTCTATTTATCCTCAAAACCGCCTCGAAATCGAGAGCAACATTTCTATTGGATTAAAAGCAATGTATTCACAAGCCTGCTTGTTGACAGGGTAATAAGGCTCACCAGAAGTTTCGTTGCCTCGTTCTAAAACACAGAATATGCTGTGCATACCTGGAAATTTGATCTGTTTTGTTATACAACTTGGAGGTTTTACAAGTTACTCGTCACATTTTACTTCTATTGTGGTCTGAAATGCCCTCATCAATGCCAATTTCTTTCTAACCCCAAAATATAAAAAGAGCGCTGCAGTTTCCCTTTAAATAATAATGAACAGATTTGGCATAATAATAGCACCTTTCTTCCCAAGGCTCAATAAGAATCTGAAGGTCGTCTGGTTCAGAACAGTCATCCTTCAGGACAACGTATGAATGCAAAACACACAACTGTTTGAAGGGGAATGGCTTGCAGGCAAACACATGGCAGTAAGGAGAGGGGTTTTTCGGAACCCGGGAATTAAACTTGGATTACCGGGCTTGTTTAAAAAAAAACAACAAGCATTACCTTGGACAATGGTGATGGGCCGAACCGTCTGTCCCTGCTGGACATTCAGGACGATCCCCAGCGGATTCACGGAGTTCTGCACCGGCCTGACGTTCCGCACAGGGAATCCCTAGAACAGAGCACAAGTTTAATGGCCCTGGTTCCGACTGCCACAGACCAGTCCCCTATCTTGCTGTATGCGCTGCCACAGCCTCATTCCCCCCCCCGAGGTGCAATTTCTTGGAAGCGTCTTTGGTCAGCAAAAACCTAGCGCCATCACATGCTTCCCAAAATGAGCATCTTTAAGGATGTTAAAAAAAACGATGGCTGTACAAAGGGCGATGAGGGTGGAAACTGGAAACTAACATTTGAGCAGAGAAACAGCTGGTCGTTTCGTGTTCCTCCTGAACAAGGGTGCAGAATTCTGATGTTCCTATAAGGAGACGTAGAGGCTGTCAGCTAACAGCAGGCAACCACCTGCTACCTGGCTCATTGTGTTTAAGCATTACTGGATGTAAAGCACAGGTGTGGTCTTGTGCCACAACATGTTTTAATTCCCTGCAGAATGGGCAAGGCTGGACTAAGAGAATCACAGAACCGTGGGGAGCTTTGGCCCCGTGTCCCACGTTTCCTGCAGGATGGCCAGGGCTTTCTAACGAACCAGACCTCTGAAGACCTTCAAATCAGAGAAACACCGCAGTAGCCCCTGGTACCCACTCAGGTGCCCATTCTGATGAAGGTCGTGGAGCCCCCACTACTGGACACTACAGTGAGGCGCGAGCATGAACTGCAAATTCCAGGTTTAAAAGGCACTCGTCATCCCACTATAATGACCACAGGGAATTTCCTTATTTCCAGGATCCTGGGTTGCACAAACACCGAGGGCTGGGTTTGACAAGTACTCTGCTGGGACGAAGACTGAAGAACAAAAGTGACCCATCGTCCAGATAACGAGCCATCAGTTAGCCAATTGCACCGAAATCACGAATGAGGAGCAGAGGACTGCCACGGAGGTGCCCCTGCCTGCCCTTTATCACTCCACCCCCCTCCTCATCTTCCTCGTTGGAACGAGGCCGCTATGAAGCAAGCGCGTGTCGGACGGACCACTCGTGCTCACGCGGCCAGCTTGGCACCGAGGTCTGGGGGCTCGCATGGCGTCGAGGCAGAGGTGCCAGCGGACTGCCCACGCCGCCCTGCACGTACCTGTGTGGCGATGAAGATGGGCTGGCTGGCAGTGGTGCTGGCGCCGGGCGTGGCGGTCGGTATCACCTGCACGGGCTGCAGCATCTGGGACATGGCCACCGCGCTGAGGTTGCCGGGGCCCTGCGTCAGGATGAGCGACTGCCCCGGCGAGGCCACAGCCTGCTGGACGGCAGGGGGCACCAGCGAGGGCGGGGCGGCCGCGGTAGGCGGAGGGGGAGGGGGAGGAGGAGGAGGAGGAGCGGGGACGCCCGATGACACCGGAGCTGCAAGACAGGACACCAGACGCTGACGGAGCGCAGACACACACACACACACGCCACCCATTGGGCCCACAGCGGGCACAGACTGGCAAAGAAGTCCGACTGGCACACAGAGCCTTTCGTCTCCGTGCTCACCATTAAAAGCCCCTCTCAATGCCGTGGTTACGAGTGGGGATTTTTCCTTCCCGGTAACGGACTGCAGAGGGACAACTACGACGATACTGCTGGACATTTCTCTTAAGTGACAAGTGAAAGAGAAATGGCTATTTTTTGTGCAAAATATGCCGTTTTAAGTGGAAAAAAAATCTGCATTTACCCCTTGGCGAAGTCATGTTCACCAATTATTTTATACCGTACATAACTCTTCGTTTCAAGACCAACCTTCTCATACATGCGTGCATACTCATTCATGCTTTAAAAAAATAAGTTGTTTTTCTTTTACATGTATCAAAGATTTAAATCGGTTAATAGTGCAGTAATTTTGTATACGTTCACCTAGCTGGTCTGCATGATGCTGCGTCACCTAAGCGGAGGCATCAGCTCAAGGCAATAACCCTGACTTATTTAGCGGGATGACTCACAGCTGGTGTTGGCGAACAGCGTCACCAGGGTCTTCTTGGCCGCGTCGCTGGAATAAGCCGCGGGTGGAGCCGTGGAGATGACAGCGGGGGGGCCAGGGGCGGGGGCGGTGAGGGGCGAAGCCGCCGGAGCCCCAGCAGGGGGCCCCAAAGGGGCCTGTGACAGGGGGCCTGGAGCCGGGAGTCCCCTCGCAAGGTGCTGAACGCTGGGCGACACTGCAACGCGCACAAAGGAGGGGAGACGCAGCGTGAGACAAGTCCAGTGTCGGAGCCACCGCAATTCTGGAATGAAAATCCCCTTTTTTTCCAGACCGTGGACCATCTTGTTTTTGCACGCTGTATTTTTTTTTTTTTAAACGGCTGCTTACACAATGCAAAATGGGTGAAAGGAAATTGAAATATAGCTGCACAAAAAAAAGTCAAGATTCTGCCAGGCATTGCAGAACTAAACATGGACATTGTCTATTGTCTAATTTACCATGAATAAAATATTGCACGATAACCTACACGTTTTATATCTTCAACAAATATTATCAGAATGACTTGGATGCAGGATGTTGAGCACTGTAAATGCTGAAGACGTTGTTCCCTAGTCCTTCACTGGAAATCACCCATCTTAACTACCACTCAATAAGAAATGGATGTTGCCCAAGCTTTGAGAAAGAGCCCTCGTGGAAATATTTGTCTCGTCTCATTTTCCAGCCACTTGCTCCTGCTGAGGGTTGTAGTCTTGACAGGCTGAGCAGATCAGACCCTATGACTCCTCCCCAGCAACAGGCTCCAGCTCCTCCTAGGGGACTCCCAGACGCCCCCCCCCCAGCCTGGATGAAAGCCGAAGGACACAAGAGGGAACCACGAGGGTGTGCGTTTTCACGCAAGCGGGAGGAGTTTTTCCAAGCTTGGTCATTATGTGGAACCAAACCATGCAGTGAACACACGCTCTCTGGGATCTTCCCAGAATGGGCTGGATGAGCCATCCTTGAATCAGGAAAACCAAAGAGGAAGGGCGCCTGTGACCCCTGCTAACCTGAGCTGGCCCCTCTCTACCGTGACCCCCC